CCTACGTCATGTTGATAGTTTTTTACGTGCTTTTCACAGTTTATTAAGTCTTTTAACTTGATCTGTTAGAGGTGTACATGTTGACATTTTTGTCTTGAAAGACATGATATATTTATTTATTAGTTGGCTTTGAACATTTCAAGTAGCTGTGAGTACTCCTAGGTCGTTATATTTTGTGTTTTACCTTTTTGCTGTTTTTTTTTTTTTGTGCTTAGTTCCGATCTGAATAGTTTAGCACTTTAATTTCCAACTGATGTTGACAGTTTGTTCTGAAGTTGTGCTGTAACACCACTATCTCGGGTTAGGGGAAGGGCTGATTATTCCAAAACAATTGTTTAACATTTGAACATTGTTTATCTTCCTGTCCCAAGTCAGGAGCCTGTAATTCAGTAGTCGTTGTTGATTGCTCATATTGTGTCATATTATTTTGTGTTCGTTAATTGTTAATAGCTTAATTTACTGTATGGATTTGTGATGACCTTTATTTGCTACATTAACGTCAATTGGTCTCTGGTGGAAAGTAGGCAAATAGTTGGCAAATATACCACCATTTTGATATTTTTGCATTGATAAAATAACTACAACGATGACGTTTTTAATAAGAAACAAGTCTAAATTAATTTAAAAAACGAAAAGACATGTCCGGCTCGTTTTATCTGTCCCATTCCAGTTCTACTGTGTTAAGCTCTAGGTTTTCGATAAGTTAAATTGCTATTCCATATGTATGCCGTATTTCATCATTTCTAATGGCTAGTTACGAATAAAATATAATATGCGTCTGTAAACAAGATATATACAGCCTTGGGTACGACCTTATATTGATGTATAGAAATGTCAACATGGATCACCAATGCTATTTGACATTTCCATGTAAGATGTAAGACAACTACACATACATCATTTACACTGCAGTTAAATTCATTAGGTTGTCATACATAGAGGTTGCAATTCTGTAAATATAGACAATGCAATTTCCCATAGGAACTCCCCTTGCGGCTAAAACTGTGACACTTTTACTATGAAGTTTCGTGAAAAATAATATCGCAGAACGGAAAGTTTATATGCACTACTATTTTATTCAAAGGTCAAAATATAGGGCTGTGCGGCATATTTTCAACATTTATATGCCCTGAACTTCTATGAGTTTAAACTTATACTAAAATGCTATACAACCCTTACCTCCATATTTGGACCTCCTAAGAATTAAAATTTAGGCGCTACCATGTTTTTCTGTACTGGTTACATTCCCAAGTGATGTCTCTATGAGATGAAACACAGAGATCATAAATTGGAACCAGTACATTATCAAATTAACATATATATGAATATTATATATCTCCCCAAAAGAGGCGTGGTTTGAGAAACAGCTGTATTTACAAAGTGCAACATATACAAACATTTATTCAAATAGAAAACCTTCTAAAAACACTTTTTCTCACAACAATACTTATTTATCAGAATTATAGCCTTAAGGAAATCACTGCATATACTCTAAGTTTCCTTTTACAGTACATTTTATACCCCTACCCCTGTTTCAGTTTTTTAAAGAATTTGAAAACAAGACTTTAATTATTGCCAGCTTACCCTATGTGCATGTTTTCTGACATGAGATATCTAAAACATGTTTTAAACTATTCTGATAACAAATTGAAAGCATTTTAGAATACTATAAATGTATTGCTTAGTAGTTAATCATTCCAACATTCAAGATTATACAAAGTATCCAATCCTGCCTGTGTCTCCAGTCCACATCTTACTGTATGCCTATTTGTCAATGAAAGTTCACAATTTCTGTCTCAAATGGTCAGTTAAGAATTCTTGTCACAACAGTATCATCTCTAACCATATAACTAACATAAGTTAGTTAATGTATGAACTAGAAGTGTCTAAACAAAGCCATATTTGCAAAATTGTATTTAAGAAGATATCAGTCTGGTGCATAAATTCAATAAAAGCTTGATAGAAATGACTGCTTACATCTTATTTTTGCATTACTTTCCAGCACAGTTATTGTTTTGTTTACAAAAGACCTTGAAAATAATAAAAGCATAGCATTTACAAGTTAAATTATCTGTTTTATGACCCAGGGTAGGCATTTTTTTCTGTTTTTTGCCCCCTGGGGCCTCACATTTCCTAAATATTTTCCCTGTTTTTAGCAAGGTGGAATATTTAGTATATATTTAGGATAGAACACACGATTGTAAGTTTTATTGAGGTCTTTTTGTAATTCTAGCTTGTACTTTTTCATGCCGCGGTCACAAAAAAACACATTTAGGTGTTACGGCTTACTTTTGGGTTATCGACAGGACAAAAATAACCCAACAAAATTATTTAGGAAGGATCAATGAGTTGCAATGACTGCGAAGAGTAAATATAAACACTTCTAAACAATTTAAATCACAAATAGGCATATATTATGAATTTATTTTGAATTCAGGGCCTTAAGTAAACCATGCATACTGTAAACTGTGAATTTATGCTGAGTCACCATAGTTAAGGCTCAGGATTTCTCAATCTTCATGAAATATTTATAAAACTTTATATTTGAGTTAAATTCTTTAAAATCTCTGCGATAAACCAGATTTTGTGAAATTCTGTATGTTCTATTTTTTAACCCTATATAGGTTGCAATTCTGTAGATATAGACAATGCAATTTCCCATAGGAACTCCCCTTGCGGCTAAAACTGTGACACTTTTACTATGAAGTTTCGTGAAAAATAATATCCCAGAACAGAAAGTTTATATGCACTGCTATTTTATTCAAAGGTCAAAATATAGGGCTGTGCGGCATATTTTCAACATTTATATGCCCTGAACTTCTATGAGTTTAAACTTATACTAAAATGCTATACAACCCTTACCTTCATATTTGGACCTCCTAAGAATTAAAATTTAGGCGCTACCATGTTTTTCTGTACTGGTTACATTTCCAAGTGATGTCTCTATGAGATGAAACACACATTATCAAATTAACATATCTATGAATATTATATATCTCCCCAAAAGAGGCGTGGTTTGAGAAACAGCTGTATTTACAAAGTGCAACCTAGAGTTACGAAAGCCTATTAGGGTCACAAAAAAAAAATATTTATCTCGTAATTACGAGATAATTATCGCGTAATTACGAGAAAACTATCGCGTAATTACGAGATAATCATTTTTTAACGCGTAATTACGAGATAATCATTTTTTAACTCGTAATTACGAGATAATTATCGCGTAATTACGAGATAATTATCGCGTTATTACGAGATAATCATTTTTTTTATCTCGTAATTACGAGATAATCATCGCGTAATTACGAGAAAACTATCGCGTAATTACGAGATAAAATAAACTGCTTCGCTGAGCGCAGCTGGATACGCCCGCAGAGGTCCAACCCAGAACAGTTGGGATAAAAATGGACACAATATTCAAGCTTGATACAGGTCTGAATTTGGATTGTAATTAAATATTTGACATATTATAGGTTTCTGAATAAATGTAGTCAAAGAACTTGAAATTGGTTATATGAATTGAATTTATATTCAATTAAAGATTTCTTGCTGTTGTGCAATACACTGTGCTGTTGCGCAATACTTTGTAAATCTATTGTCAGACATTAAACAAATAAAGTTAAATTAATTCTCAATGTCATATTAGAAATTTATAAAAATGTAAAGGGAGCTTACATCAATAGATATAAACTATTCACCAAAGTTTCATGAGAATTGCTGACAGCATTTTTGAGTTATTGTCCGAAAACTGAAAAATCACCCCTTTTTATACGACCGCAAAAAAATTTTTGTGGTCGTATATTGGTATGACGTTGGCGTCGTCGTCGTCGTCGTCGTCGTCGTCGTCGTCGTCGTCCGGCGTCGTCGTCCGAAGACGCATTAGTTTTCGCACTCTAACTTTAGTTTAAGTGAATGGATCTCTATGAAATTTTACCATAAGGTTCAATACCACAAAAGGAAGGTGGGGATTGATTTTGGGGGTTATGGTACCAACAGTTAAGGAATTAGGGGCCAAAAAGGGGCCAAAAATCAGCATTTTCTAGTTTCCAGACAATAACTGTGGAACGGTGTATGGATCTCTCTGAAATTATACTACAAGTTTCCATACCACAAAGGGATGGTTAGGATTTGCTTTGGGGGGTTATGGGTCAAAACGTTTAAGAATTAGGGGCAAAAAAGGGGGAAAAACAAGGTTGTCCTGGTTAATGGACAAATACTTTAATACAAAACATAATTTAAAGCAGTGTAAGGGAGATAAATCAAATACATCATTGAAATTATCTCCCTTACACTGCTTTTAAATTATGTATAAAGTAATGGTTATTGAACAATTAAGATAATTTAAAACAGTGTAAGGGAGGTAATCCAAATTCAACGTTTTGGTTACTTCCCTTACACTGCTTTTAAATTATGTCTAAAGAAATGCATATTTATAAAGGAAGACCAGTAAAAATATCTGCAAATGTTGCATCTTTTTTTTTTACAACAAAATCCATATGAAAGATTTGACACTATATTTTAAATTCTATTATAAAATAGATTAAGTTAGCACTATGGTAAATTTAAATGGGTAATTATGGTTGCAAACTCCATTGGAAATTTGAATTGAGATTATGACCATATCTTGAGGGAAAGAATTTTTTTGGGGAAAAAAAGGGGGGGGGGGGGGTTTAAGAAATTGGGGGGGGGGGGGGGGGGGGGGGTCAATATTTTCTTATTTCAGATTTCAGAAATTAAAAAGAATTATTCTTCAAATATTATTTTTTTTTCAAATTTCAAATATTGAAAAATTTCAAGAAGTAATCTTTAATTGGACAGTATGGCGCATTAGATTTGTAAAATCTTTGACCACATTTATTTATTTGTTATGCTGAGTCTAACCGTGTATTTAGATTTTTAATTTTGGGTCCAGTTTTCAAATTGGTCTACATTAAGGTCCAAAGGGTCCAAAATTAAACTTTGTTGATTTTAACAAAAATTGAATATATGGGGTTTTTTTTGATATGCTGAATCTAAACATGTATTTAGATTTTTGATTTTTTGGCCCAGTTTTCAAGTTGGTCCAAATTGGGGTCCAAAATTAAACTTTGTTTGATTTCAACAAAAATTGAATATATGGGGTTCTTTGATATGCTGAATCTAACCATGTATTTAGATTTTTTATTTGTGGACCCCGCTATCAAATATGTTCATATTGAGGTCAAAAGGGTCCAAAATTAAACTTTGTTTGATTTCATCAAAAATTGAATATATGGGGTTCTTTGATATGCTGAATCTAACCATGTATTTAGATTTTTGATTTTTGGGCCCCGTTATCAACTTTGTTCACATTGAGGTCAAAAGGGTCCAAAATTAAACTTAGTTTGATTTTAACAAAAATTAAATTCTTGGGGTTCTTTGATAGGCTGAATCTAAACATGTGTTTAGATTTTTGATAATGGGCCCAGTTTTCAAGTTGGTCCAAGTTGGGGTCCAAAATTAAACTTTGTTTGATTTCAACAAAAATTGAATATATGGGGTTCTTTGATATGCTGAATCTAAACATGTATTTAGATTTTAGATTTTTGGCCCAGTTTTCAAGTTGGTCCAAATTGGGGTCCAAAATCAAACTTTGTTTGATTTCAACAAAAATTGAATATATGGGGTTCTTTGATATGCTGAATCTTACCATGTATTTAGATTTTTTATTTGTGGGCCCGCTATCAAATTGGTTCATATTGAGGTCAAAAGGGTCCAAAATTAAACTTTGTTTGATTTCATCAAAAATTGAATTCTTGGGGTTCTTTGATGTGCCGAATCTAACCGTGTTTTTAGATTTTTAATTTTGGGTCCCATTTTTAAATTGGTCTACATTAAGGTCCAAAGGGTCCAAAATTAAACTTAGTTTGATTTTAACAAAAATTGAATTCTTGGGGTTCTTTGATATGCTGAATCTAAACATGTATTTAGATTTTTGATTTTTGGCCCAGTTTTCAAGTTGGTCCAAATTGGGGTCCAAAATTAAACTTTGTTTGATTTCAACAAAAATTGAATATATGGGGTTCTTTGATATGCTGAATCTAACCATGTATTTAGATTTTTTATTTGTGGACCCCGCTATCAAATTGGTTCATATTGAGGTCAAAAGGGTCCAAAATTAAACTTTGTTTGATTTCAACAAAAATTGAATATATGGGGTTCTTTGATATGCTGAATCTAACCATGTAGTTAGATTTTTGATTTTTTAGTACCGTTATCAACTTTGTCCACATTGAGGTCAAAAGGGTCCAAAATTAAACTTTGTTTGATTTCAACAAAAATTGAATATATGGGGTTCTTTGATATGCTGAATCTAACCATGTATTTAGATTTTTGATTTTTGGGCCCCTTTATCAACTTTGTCCACATTGAGGTCAAAAGGGTCCAAAATTAAACTTAGTTTGATTTTAACAAAAATTGAATTCTTGGGGTTCTTTGATATGCTGAATCTAAACATGTGTTTAGATTTTTGATAATGGGCCCAGTTTTCAAGTTGGTCCAAGTTGGGGTCCAAAATTAAACTTTGTTTGATTTCAACAAAAATTGAATATATGGGGTTCTTTGATATGCTGAATCTAAACATGTATTTAGATTTTAGATTTTTGGCCCAGTTTTCAAGTTGGTCCAAATTGGGGTCCAAAATCAAACTTTGTTTGATTTCAACAAGAATTGAATATATGGGGTTCTTTGATATGCTGAATCTTACCATGTATTTAGATTTTTTATTTGTGGGCCCGCTTTCAAATTGGTTCATATTGAGGTCAAAAGGGTCCAAAATTAAACTTTGTTTGATTTCATCAAAAATTGAATTCTTGGGGTTCTTTGATTTGCCGAATCTAACCGTGTATTTAGATTTTTGATTTTTTGGCCCCTTTATCAACTTTGTCCATATTGAGGTCAAAAGGGTACAAAATTAAACTTAGTTTGATTTTAACAAAAATTGAATTCTTGGGGTTCTTTGATATGCTGAATCTAAACATGTATTTAGATTTTTGATTTTTGGCCCAGTTTTCAAGTTGGTCCAAAATGGGGTCCAAAATTAAACTTTGTTTGATTTCAACAAAAATTGAATATATGGGGTTCTTTGATATGCTGAATCTAACCATGTATTTAGATTTTTTATTTGTGGACCCCGCTATCAAATTGGTTCATATTGAGGTCAAAAGGGTCCAAAATTAAACTTTGTTTGATTTCAACAAAAATTGAATATATGGGGTTCTTTGATATGCTGAATCTAACCATGTAGTTAGATTTTTGATTTTTGGGTACCGTTATCAACTTTGTCCACATTGAGGTCAAAAGGGTCCAAAATTAAACTTTGTTTGATTTCAACAAAAATTGAATATATGGGGTTCTTTGATATGCTGAATCTAACCATGTATTTAGATTTTTGATTTTTGGGCCCCTTTATCAACTTTGTCCACATTGAGGTCAAAAGGGTCCAAAATTAAACTTAGTTTGATTTTAACAAAAATTGAATTCTTGGGGTTCTTTGATATGCTGAATATAAACATGTGTTTAGATTTTTGATAATGGGCCCAGTTTTCAAGTTGGTCCAAGTTGGGGTCCAAAATTAAACTTTGTTTGATTTCAACAAAAATTGAATATATGGGGTTCTTTGATATGCTGAATCTAAACATGTATTTAGATTTTAGATTTTTGGCCCAGTTTTCAAGTTGGTCCAAATTGGGGTCCAAAATCAAACTTTGTTTGATTTCAACAAGAATTGAATATATGGGGTTCTTTGATATGCTGAATCTTACCATGTATTTAGATTTTTTATTTGTGGGCCCGCTTTCAAATTGGTTCATATTGAGGTCAAAAGGGTCCAAAATTAAACTTTGTTTGATTTCATCAAAAATTGAATTCTTGGGGTTCTTTGATTTGCCGAATCTAACCGTGTATTTAGATTTTTGATTTTTGGGCCCCTTTATCAACTTTGTCCATATTGAGGTCAAAAGGGTACAAAATTAAACTTAGTTTGATTTTAACAAAAATTAAATTCTTGGGGTTCTTTGATAGGCTGAATCTAAACATGTGTTTAGATTTTTGATAATGGGCCCAGTTTTCAAGTTGGTCCAAGTTGGGGTCCAAAATTAAACTTTGTTTGATTTCAACAAAAATTGAATATATGGGGTTCTTTGATATGCTGAATCTAAACATGTATTTAGATTTTAGATTTTTGGCCCAGTTTTCAAGTTGGTCCAAATTGGGGTCCAAAATCAAACTTTGTTTGATTTCAACAAAAATTGAATATATGGGGTTCTTTGATATGCTGAATCTTACCATGTATTTAGATTTTTTATTTGTGGGCCCGCTATCAAATTGGTTCATATTGAGGTCAAAAGGGTCCAAAATTAAACTTTGTTTGATTTCATCAAAAATTGAATTCTTGGGGTTCTTTGATTTGCCGAATCTAACCGTGTTTTTAGATTTTTAATTTTGGGTCCCATTTTTAAATTGGTCTACATTAAGGTCCAAAGGGTCCAAAATTAAACTTAGTTTGATTTTAACAAAAATTGAATTCTTGGGGTTCTTTGATATGCTGAATCTAAACATGTATTTAGATTTTTGATTTTTGGCCCAGTTTTCAAGTTGGTCCAAATTGGGGTCCAAAATTAAACTTTGTTTGATTTCAACAAAAATTGAATATATGGGGTTCTTTGATATGCTGAATCTAACCATGTATTTAGATTTTTTATTTGTGGACCCCGCTATCAAATTGGTTCATATTGAGGTCAAAAGGGTCCAAAATTAAACTTTGTTTGATTTCAACAAAAATTGAATATATGGGGTTCTTTGATATGCTGAATCTAACCATGTAGTTAGATTTTTGATTTTTGGGTACCGTTATCAACTTTGTCCACATTGAGGTCAAAAGGGTCCAAAATTAAACTTTGTTTGATTTCAACAAAAATTGAATATATGGGGTTCTTTGATATGCTGAATCTAACCATGTATTTAGATTTTTGATTTTTGGGCCCCTTTATCAACTTTGTCCACATTGAGGTCAAAAGGGTCCAAAATTAAACTTAGTTTGATTTTAACAAAAATTGAATTCTTGGGGTTCTTTGATATGCTGAATCTAAACATGTGTTTAGATTTTTGATAATGGGCCCAGTTTTCAAGTTGGTCCAAGTTGGGGTCCAAAATTAAACTTTGTTTGATTTCAACAAAAATTGAATATATGGGGTTCTTTGATATGCTGAATCTAAACATGTATTTAGATTTTAGATTTTTGGCCCAGTTTTCAAGTTGGTCCAAATTGGGGTCCAAAATCAAACTTTGTTTGATTTCAACAAGAATTGAATATATGGGGTTCTTTGATATGCTGAATCTTACCATGTATTTAGATTTTTTATTTGTGGGCCCGCTTTCAAATTGGTTCATATTGAGGTCAAAAGGGTCCAAAATTAAACTTTGTTTGATTTCATCAAAAATTGAATTCTTGGGGTTCTTTGATTTGCCGAATCTAACCGTGTATTTAGATTTTTGATTTTTTGGCCCCTTTATCAACTTTGTCCATATTGAGGTCAAAAGGGTACAAAATTAAACTTAGTTTGATTTTAACAAAAATTGAATTCTTGGGGTTCTTTGATATGCTGAATCTAAACATGTATTTAGATTTTTGATTTTTGGCCCAGTTTTCAAGTTGGTCCAAAATGGGGTCCAAAATTAAACTTTGTTTGATTTCAACAAAAATTGAATATATGGGGTTCTTTGATATGCTGAATCTAACCATGTATTTAGATTTTTTATTTGTGGACCCCGCTATCAAATTGGTTCATATTGAGGTCAAAAGGGTCCAAAATTAAATTTTGTTTGATTTCAACAAAAATTGAATATATGGGGTTCTTTGATATGCTGAATCTAACCATGTAGTTAGATTTTTGATTTTTGGGTACCGTTATCAACTTTGTCCACATTGAGGTCAAAAGGGTCCAAAATTAAACTTTGTTTGATTTCAACAAAAATTGAATATATGGGGTTCTTTGATATGCTGAATCTAACCATGTATTTAGATTTTTGATTTTTGGGCCCCTTTATCAACTTTGTCCACATTGAGGTCAAAAGGGTCCAAAATTAAACTTAGTTTGATTTTAACAAAAATTGAATTCTTGGGGTTCTTTGATATGCTGAATCTAAACATGTGTTTAGATTTTTGATAATGGGCCCAGTTTTCAAGTTGGTCCAAGTTGGGGTCCAAAATTAAACTTTGTTTGATTTCAACAAAAATTGAATATATGGGGTTCTTTGATATGCTGAATCTAAACATGTATTTAGATTTTAGATTTTTGGCCCAGTTTTCAAGTTGGTCCAAATTGGGGTCCAAAATCAAACTTTGTTTGATTTCAACAAGAATTGAATATATGGGGTTCTTTGATATGCTGAATCTTACCATGTATTTAGATTTTTTATTTGTGGGCCCGCTTTCAAATTGGTTCATATTGAGGTCAAAAGGGTCCAAAATTAAACTTTGTTTGATTTCATCAAAAATTGAATTCTTGGGGTTCTTTGATTTGCCGAATCTAACCGTGTATTTAGATTTTTGATTTTTGGGCCCCTTTATCAACTTTGTCCATATTGAGGTCAAAAGGGTACAAAATTAAACTTAGTTTGATTTTAGCAAAAATTGAATTCTTGGGGTTCTTTGATATGCTGAATCTAAACATGTATTTAGATTTTTGATTTTTGGCCCAGTTTTCAAGTTGGTCCAAAATGGGGTCCAAAATTAAACTTTGTTTGATTTCAACAAAAATTGAATATATGGGGTTCTTTGATATGCTGAATCTAACCATGTATTTAGATTTTTTATTTGTGGACCCCGCTATCAAATTGGTTCATATTGAGATCAAAAGGGTCCAAAATTAAACTTTGTTTGATTTTAACAAAAATTGAATTCTTGGGGTTCTTTGATATGCTGAATCTAAACATGTGTTTAGATTTTTGATAATGGGCCCAGTTTTCAAGTTGGTCCAAGTTGGGGTCCAAAATTAAACTTTGTTTGGTTTCAACAAAAATTGAATATATGGGGTTCTTTGATATGCTGAATCTAAACATGTATTTAGATTTTAGATTTTTGGCCCAGTTTTCAAGTTGGTCCAAATTGGGGTCCAAAATTAAACTTTGTTTGATTTCAACAAAAATTGAATATATGGGGTTCTTTGATATGCTGAATCTTACCATGTATTTAGATTTTTTATTTGTGGGCCCGCTATCAAATTGGTTCATATTGAGGTCAAAAGGGTCCAAAATTAAACTTTGTTTGATTTCATCAAAAATTGAATTCTTGGGGTTCTTTGATATGCCAAATCTAACCGTGTTTTTAGATTTTTAATTTTGGGTCCCATTTTTAAATTGGTCTACATTAAGGTCCAAAGGGTCCAAAATTAAACTTAGTTTGATTTTAACAAAAATTGAATTCTTGGGGTACTTTGATATGCTGAATCTAAACATGTGTTTAGATTTTTGATTATGGGACTAGTTTTCAAGTTTGTCCAAGTTGGGGTCCAAAATTAAACTTTGTTTGATTTCAACAAAAATTGAATATATGGGGTTCTTTGATATGCTGAATCTAACCATGTATTTTGATTTTGGACATTGGACCATAATAGGTAAATTAAAAAAATTGAAGTTCTTAGACCACATTCTTTCTGTGTCAGAAACCTATGCTGTGTCAAATATTTAATCACAATCCAAATTCAGAGCTGTATCAAGCTTGAATGTTGTGTCCTTACTTGCCCCAACTGTTCAGGGTTCGACCTCTGCGGTCTTATCAAGCTGCGCCCAGCGAAGCATTTTATTTAATGACTAAAACCCAATAACTCAGAAATGATAAATGAAAAATTTATAAAATTCTAAACAGAGCTTATATCAATAGATATAAACAATTCACCAAAGTTTTATAAGAACTGCTGAAAGCATTTTTTATTTTTGTCCGAAAACTGGAAAATCCCCCTTTTTTATGAATAAAACCCCATAACTCGGAAACGTAAAATCTAAAATTTCTAAAAAACGAAAGGGAGCTCACGTCAATAGACATAAACAATTCATTAAAGTTTTATGCAAATTAGTTAAAGCGTTTTTGAGTTAATGTCCGACATGTTGACGACGGACGGACAGCGGACAGACGGACTACGGTATACCATAATACGTCCCAACGGGCGTATAAAAATGATTATCTCGTAATTACGCGATAGTTTTCTCGTAATTACGCGATAATTATCTCGTAATTACGAGATAAAAAAACTTATTATCTCGTAATTACGCGATAGTTTTCTTGTAATTACGCGATGATGATCTCGTAATTACGAGATAATTATCTCGTAATTAAGTGATAGTTATCTCGTAATTACGCGATAATTATCTCGTAATTACGCGATAGTTTTCTCGTAATTACGCAATAATTATCTCGTAATTACGCGATAGTTTTCTCGTAATTACGAGCTATTTATCTCGTAATTACGCGATAATTTTTTTTTTTGTGACCCTAATAGGCTTTCGTATAGAGTACTCGGATTTCGTCAATTGTTTTTCGTAATCAGTGCATTAAAATAACATAAACGGTACCAATTTTAAAGTACCAGATACGTATTTCCTCAATTTATGTCTCTTCAGTGATACTCGATTAAACGCTCATTTATTTTTTTTTTCAAGAGCACCGGAGTTGATCCCCGGTTTTTGGTTGTGTTCATTCTGAAGTTTTCTGTGTAGTGTAACTTGAACTGGTGTTTGTTTCTTTTGTTGTCATTGAGTTGTCTGTTTTTCCTCGACTGATAGTCTTTATTTACCCTTTTTCATGTTTCCCCACTTTTTGATATTGGATATTTTCATAGGAATAGGAAATAAGGCATTAAGCAAAAGATCAAAACAAATCGATAAGATGACTTTTTCATTGTAGAAATAAATTTATAAGACCTAGAAATTTATGTATATTTTATTAGATTTTCATTGAAATATAAACCTTGAATACATTTGATAGGGAACGTCTCTGGAGGTTATCATTGTGTCAGTGTGTAGATATCCCGGTGGAGTATTTACTGACACACCGAATGCGTATTACATCCGGAAAAAAGACAGAACTATCCAACAGTTCACTTTCCAAGAATGGAAGACCAAAATGATTTCTTCACACAAAGGTATTTTTCACCTTTAAGCTTGATCAGGTGATACAAAATGACATAGAAAGCTGATAAATATTTAAGAGAACTTCATAATTCAGTGTCTTTTCATGACAATCTAACAAATAGTTTATATCTTTTTGTATTCAGATAAAAAAATAAAAAAATAGATTTTCAAATTGCAAAACTGCAGCTATACAATTTTCGAATTTTGTTTCGTAAAAGCTTACGTTTGTTAATTGTCTTTCATTTTGTTTGTCGTTTTTTTCCTTGCAAATTGCAGATATCAAAACAAAAATAAGACGATATTTTAATAAGGAAGTGAGTCAACTATCCACGATTGATAAAATTAATTTAATCTAAGCATAAATGTATATAGGTACATGTACGAACTTTAATAATGAGCACAACCTATACCATTTAATAAGCTAGATAAGGCCACGACATGACAAAACGTAACATTATTTAAACAAGAAGTTCCAACGATAAATATATGTTTGATCCATTTTATAAATTTAAAAACAAAGATGAAGATCGGTCCAACTCTTTTGGTTGCTCACAGAAAAAAATATCAAAATCACATTTACATCATTTACTAATATTATCAATTAAAAATCGTACTGAAAATACTATTAAGATTAAATAGCATACACGACTTTGGAGGGGAAAAAACGGACACGAGATCGATAAAATTCTACAGGTTTTTGCAAAGTTGCCATTGATAAACAACATACTGTCAAAAGTAGTGTGGTTACATAAATTTTCAATGTACCTTATTGTTCAACATCATCGACAATTAGACCCAACACAAACTACAAAGAATTCAAGAATTTATTGTTTAATGTACATTTTTAAACACACCATATCGGATTAGTTAATTTGTAATGTCCAGACAGAAATATTGCAACTATATTCAGGAAGTGAAAATGGTACTTTGATATTAATGTAACCCTTTTTATGACCAAACTGGTTCCGGCTTGTAGCTGGATCTAGTAATCCACAAGAAGAAATGTTTATTTATTCTTACTCATTTTCCTATCAAATTTGCTCCGTGTAAGACTAGAAAGAAGCAAGTACTAGTTTCGAACTCGTATGCCTAGTTTTGTGTATTGCCGCAATTAATCTAGATGAGCAAACAACCACTCAACCACCCTGTCTATTACTATTACAACCTTAGATTCTTAAACAAATAGAGGGTGGTTATTTTGGTTTACAATATTTTTTCCCTATAATTGTAAAATTTCTAATCCAAGAATTCAAATATAGATAAATATTCAACGTGTGACCGAACAAAACATTAATTCACGAATGCTCATAGCGCATGACTTTTGAATTATCAGGGTTGTTCGGTCAAGAGTTGAATATATTTTGATATTTTAATTCTTGGATTAGTTATTCTTTTTATTACATTGACTATGGACTATTTAATGGAAATATTGTAGAAAATTAAAGGAACTATATCTTTTTCTACACATTCTCAATTGTTTTGAAATAATGTCATTGACAACGTCTGACAGCACCCATTGTTGTATGACGTCAAAGTAGTGAAATTATCAGATTTTATTTCATATGTGATGTTATCAGTTTTTATTTCACTGGGTAATTACGGTAATTCATTGCAACCACTGTTATAATGTGTATTACTGCTCTTATACAAAAAACTTCTCCTATCCATATTTTTAATTGTCCAAATAACTTTTCCCAAATAAATATCTCTTAAAATTGATCAACTGGTGACAAGTATTAACCCATTGATTAAGTGCATTAGGTTCTTTGTATGGAACAAGTGTAGTTTAATAAAAATATTCTTACCATCTATTTTCATCTAATCAATTTTTCTAAGGTTTTTTTATCAATGACCTCACAGCCTTTACTCCTTTGGATAGAATATCTTCTTCGTCTTTTCATTAAAGCTTTCCCTATTGGTGAGCAATATTTTTTAAAACTTTGTTTTGTTAAAGGTATTCCATTTACCCAAGGATGTGGTGAGGTCTTGCAAACGTCAGTAGACAATTTATCCGATGACGTATCAGATGCGAATAAAACCGTCCATCATACACAGAGAGACGTATTGAATATAAAAGAAATTGTCAGTGATACAGCTAGCAATGTCTCAGTTATAAAAGAGATTGTCGAAGGTGGAAGCTTACCTTCTCAAAAACCAAAAAGTAAGTAACTGCAGTTAAAGAATTTAGTCAAGAGCCGGCTTTGTACGCCTTTTCGAATGTTTAAAAAAATCCACTCTATATCGACTACATTTACGTATATACCTTTATGTTTGTCATTGTTCAATATGTTGTTTTAAACTGTTTTGCACACATAGTCTCAAGTTGGAAACTACGAATTAATTTTCAAAATTTCCATTTTCAACTTCAGGATCATGGGGGACAGAAGTTTTGCAAAAAGAAAATCGCGAGATCTTTCAAGGTTTGTGTTTACATCATGATTTCCTATATGATTTATATGTATATGTTACAGGCATTTTCTGAATTTAGGTATTTTGTAAAATGCCTGCAAACTTTAGGCTTTTTCCAAAATGCCCGTAAGATTAATGCATTTTCTGAAATATATTTGCCTGTAAGATTCAGGAATTTTAGTTATTGACTAAATTTGTTTAGAAATTATTTTTATAGAATAAAATGTTCTCAAAACTTGAACCATTGAACAAGAGAGGCGAAAGATTCCCCAAAAGGAAATTCGAACTCATGAAAGTGTTCAACATTTGCAGAGCAGATTTATATATGTAATAACGCTTGCATTGTACGAGTTTTGATAATTAAAAATAAATTCTTCTGAATTATTAAGAATTCCCACTGAACTCGACACTTATTCGTTATTTCATAGACTGATTGGATTGCAGTTTCAGTTACTCAATTGCCCTGATTTTTTTGCAAATACATTGTTTGGCGTTAAATATTGTCTTAGCACTACAACAACATATTAAACACATTCAGGTTTGTCAATATTTATATTAAAAAAAAAAACACTAAACGTTCGAAATCATGGGGTTTCGCAAACGGCACACACATGAATATCTTCTTTTTCTTGTATTCCTGAAATATTGAAAGTAACATTTACATGATTATGATGACTTACATCTTTTTGCTTATCAGTGCATTCATAGCAACATTTGTTTTCGTTCTTGGTATGCATGAAATATTTACTATTGAACGCAAACAAACAACATTCACTCAATAAAAAACTTAGTTTTCTCTGCTACATATTACACACTTCTGTTTTGAAGCTAGATTTTTTTATAAAAAATCATTTGTAAATTTTGTTGTATTGCAAGAACAGTTTGTCCTTCTGCTATGAATAACTATCTGAAAGACAGAGTGAGTACATACTTTTAACACAGTTTCACAAAAAAGAACTTATTATAGATATACAAACTTTCCTAGTTGGTATTTGAAGAATAAACTTAATTTTACCGAACAAGTAGCTCTTTTGGAAGATATTGTTTTTTTTTTAGGTCTTATGCATCTCAATGATATCCTTTTTCTACAAATTAGCTGAAACTGAACAGGCAATTCATTGAATTTTGAATGAAAATGTCAGTCATTCTACAATTGACTATGTATTTGTACTCATCTGATATAATGCTTGTCAAGTTTAGCATGATTAGGCAATGTATAAATTGGCTGAAAATTCATTCATTTACAAAATGCCTAAATTCAGAAAATGTCTGTAACATATCTATATCATACACATTTAAAAGTTGTTTATCATCATTTTATAAAAAAAAAAACAATTTTTGACGTTATCATTATATAACAACTATATAATTGTTTTGAAATAATGAAAAATAAAAGTGTCTACAATTTAACATAAAACAATAAAATCATTAACTCCTAGAATTACATATTTTGATATTGTAAAATTGTTTTAATGACCAATAATTTGCTCCTTTTTTGTAGTACCTAGTAATCTGTTTGAACACCATGTAACACACGATTACAAGTGTACAAGAAATGATGTAAACCTTCAGGAAATTCTGGAAAAACACAAATGTGTAACAGTGAAAGGTATTTCTAGTAAAAAATAAAATAACAAAAATACCGAACTCCAAGGGATTTCAAAACGGAAAATCCTTTATAAAATGGCAAAATCAAAAGCTCAATCGATCAAACGAATGAAAAACAATTGGTTTATGGCAATTTTCATATTTTGAGCTAAGCATCGTTTTTACATCCTTTCCCCCCGTTACTATACAGTTTTTATCCTAATTTCTGGATTAGGTTGCTGCAAAGTATTTCAAATAAATCTTTACAATTTCTAATATTGCCTTTAATTTAAGGTACAACTGAAAATAGGTTTGGGGTACAAATCTACAAGAGAGCGAACAAAAGGAAACATAATAGACATAGAGATGTCAACATAAATATGGTAACAAATTTTAGCATATTCTATCAAAAACATTATGATCAACACCGAATTTCCTAAAGTACTACACATTATTCATATACTAATCTGATTTTTTTTACACGTTTCGTATATAAATTTATATTTGTTAAGTAAGGTTTGAACTCTACCTTGGTAAAGAAGTCACAAAGCTTTTAAATGTTTGTTCATTTTCGAAACATATCAGCGCATCATGTGTGATATCTTCAACAAGTGCATGTGAACAATTTTACGCATTTAACAAAATAATGCTACACAGTGCAAGCAAAACACATTTAAGAAAATCAACAAGTAAAACAAAGCAATAAAATTTGTATTGAAAATTAAATACTCTTACATAATATGTAATTTTCTATGACTACTCTTACACATTGATGTATTTGAACAAGTGGTCTCGGTCGCATTGTTTTCAAACAAATTGTCTGAAATAGAAAACATGGATAATTGACACTTAATTCAAGGAGACTTTCGGAGTTGCGTGTTGTTCAAACAATTTTTGATTTTGATTATTTCTTATAATTGCTGCCCTATTTTGCCTAATCTTTCCTGAAAGATTATTAACGTGTATTAACATATATGTCAAATTATTAAACATTTAGGAGATTCAAATATTTTTAAATTGCATATTCTAACAAATATTTAAGAATATAGAAATATTAATCTCATTCAAGTACCAAATAAATATTGACATAAGAGGTGTTGATCATAAAGACAAACATTCAGGTAAATTATTAAGATGTAATTTACATGTGATCTTTCTTTGCAAGTCAAAAAGTTTTTTTTTATTACGACACAAAAATTATTTAAAAAAAAAGGAATATCACGTGGCGTCATAACTACATCTGTGTTCTAAATTAACAGTTTTAAGGTTAGTAATACATCATTTAAAGAAAAAACATAAATGTAAATCTAAAATCCAAATGTAAAAGTAAACAGAATACGCCCCCTATCATGCCAGTCTTTTGTATAAAGTACTGCAAATTTTTAGCGTATTATTACGGTATCGATATATTTTCGTTTTTGTTCGTCCTTTTACAGAAAATGTCAAAAAAATACCTAAACAAATGCACCCATTACCACCCTAAAGGCTGGAATCAACTTGGGGGATTTTCTCCATTGATTTTTTGGAGAGGGGCTGAAAGGAAAGTCAAAGTCGTAATTTCGCTCGTAATTTTTTGATATATTTTTGCAACGATACAAAAAAAAATGAGAAACTGAAAAAAGGAGAGCAATTCAGATTTTATTTGGAATATTTATATCTCCAGATTTGTGATAAGTCTAACCGTTTCTCAGCTGAAAAATGGAGTCAGCTTACAACAATGCTATTACAATGGTACATAGTTAAATTTCAATTATTATTGCGTTTTTGTTCAATTTGTTTTTTTCAGATGAAGGATTTAACTTGTGTTGATAGTTTACATTCAACGTTTCATACAAGAAATGACTGCTTTCACCCTATACTTCAGCACAATATTTTATCCTGCAAATTACTTTTCCAAACACAAATACTGTCTTGTATACACATTGCAGTCATGTAATGGTTTTCGATACAGTTATTTAACATTCCATACTATGTCATATCTTTTTATTTTTAGGATACATAGGTACGGGAAAGTCACAACTAGCCCTTAATTACGGACTTCAAATGAAAAAGGATAACAATTTAGTTTGGAAGTTTGAGTGTAGCAACATTCAAGAGCTATGGCGATCAATGGCTTATCTCTTGAAAGAACTTCGATTTAAAATTAAAGACACAGAAAATAAAAAAGATGACATCCTTTTCATGGCAAGAACTATCAATGAATATCTCGAGAAAAATCATACAAGAATGCATATTTTAATATTTGAAGACGTAATTGATGACTCCAGAAATATAATTGAGACTTTCATCAATGTATATTTGGCAAAAAGAGGCAACCTGAAAGTTTTAGTTACGTCATCTTTATCAGTGACTGAAATAGAATTGGAAATTGTTGGTTTTTCTGAAGAAGAAGCAATAGATTTTATCGATGCTATAGAGGCAAACGATGCTGAACGAGAAGAACTTGTCAAAGCATTCAGTTGCAATCCTTTAGGACTGAAAATTGCTATAAGATACATAAAGCATTGCCAAATATCAGTTGGGGCATTTCTTGGAAAACTTAGCGTACCAAAAGGTGCATTAGAAATTGAAAATTCCCCAGTCATTGCCCAGCGCTGCGAACTTAAACCACTATTTCAGTCCTTACATCTTATTCTTAGTGACATTCACTCAAAAGATCCAAGCATATTACAAAGAATATTACTGATGCAATTTCTGGGATCGGACAAGATACCTGCAATCCTGCTAGAAAACGCACATCTAAATTTTTTTTCTGGGAAAATAAAAGAGGAAGGAAGGAGTAACGGCCCTTTGGAGCGTATCGATGATGTAATTTCCACATTGAAGCACTATTCATTTGCTAGCGTCAGCGGGATAGACGAGGAAAGAGTTCTTCATACACACAGTGCTATATTATTGGCAACGGAGAACTACACTTCTGAGTCAAATGATATAACAGTTATGGACATGTTGAAAGCTCTTCTTTGGGCAGTGGTTTCCTTAATGCACAAGGATAATAGAATGAAAGCCGATTTAGACAGACACATATACTTATTACCATATGCTGAATCTATTTTGAACCGTACACGTAAATTGTTAGAGATTACTAACAAGGCTGAAACAAAACAATTTATGGACGACCTTTCATTTTCTTTACCTCTTGTTTATGTGAGTGATATTGTTGGATACACTTATGATTTCGATGAAATGCATCATTTCGGAGAAGTTTATTTCCAATATGCTAAATCATACTTTATAGAAATGGTGGGAATGAGTGTGTTAAGTCATGGCAATACAATTGAAGATATACAGATAAATGCGAAGAAAACAGCAACTCAACTAAATCGAAAAATGGCAAGTATTTTAAAACAAAATACAAAAATGCTCAATACTGTTGGTAAATGGTATATTCTCAATAAACACAGATCACGAGACGAATTAGAAATCATACAGAATGGATTGCAGAAGGCTGGGAAATCACTTAACGGCAAATTGAGAACAGACGAAGATTTAAATTTACTTTGTGAAAATAAACTAGCAGTTCCAAAGAAGAGGATAGGCTACTTTTACTTTTTTGAAGTAGGTATTTCACTCTTGTATAGCTACGGCAGACGACTTTTCTATACCGTGGACAAAACCTCAGATTCTCTCGCGGGGTATTATTGTTACTTTTTGTATGTTGCCGATCATTTGAGTAATATAGTGGATGCATTAAACCCTGAGTGGAAAATTCTACACAGTTTGCTTACAAAACGAAGTGGAACTATCCAACAAGCAATCGAGAATTCACACTTTCCTGAAACTGACTTGAAAAAATTGAAAAATATAGCAGAGCGATGCTTATATTCAGTAGAAGACAAAAGCAGCAGATACTTTCTTTTTGGAACAGTCTTTATGGAAACAGACAGCGATGTATTCAACAAGGTGATATGGCTGAAGCAACTCGTGAGATGTTACAAAAGAATGCTGAAAGTAGCGGAAGATGAATCAGAAAGGGATGAAATTGAACAAAAGGGCAAGGATCATGTAAATCACCTTTATGGTTTAATTCAAGAGTTCAAGCACACATCATCTTTCCCGAGTTTATTACTATGTATTGGAGAGTTTTATCAATGCATACGTGACTTTCACAGAGCCAGAATCACTTTTCGCCAGTTATATTCCAAACCAACACAACCGGAACAGAAAGTGAAAGCTCGAAAACACGAGAGGAAAGCTTACATTTATTATCTACAGTGCTTCCTATTAGAACAAAGAAAGAATAAATCAGAAAATTTACAAAATGAAGCATGCGTCGAATTAGAAGATGCAGCATGTAAAGAAGTAGAAAATCTGATCCCAAATTGTCACAAAATTGTGATGAATCATGCAGAAGAGAAAATGGAGCTGGAACACATTTTGTTTATGTCTACACCAGAGAGTATTCTGAAGCACGAGGAAAGAGCATGTATTCAGTATCTAAATAGCCGTTTACGGCATTTACAGTATGGTAGTTTAAATAGACATGACTATAATCTGCACGTGAAAGAAATCGAAGAACTTTTGCAAAAATTTTCTGACATGCCATTAAAACATGAAATGTTAGGACTAGCCGATATGAAAAGTCAATTCTGCCTTTTAGAAAAGAAACAAACATTTTAAACGTTTAATTGCGACATTTAAAGCTAAGTTTAACGCGTTAAATCAATTCATCAATTTATGCAGCACAATCACCTTTCAAATTTAGTAAAAAAATATTAGATCTGCAAATTAACGGTAGCAACTTTGTGTTTTTTCCTCTGCCGGATTTCAACCTATGCTTCTGTGAACTCATGACAACACCACCTGTACTGTCTTATGATATAGACTACTCAAACAACTAAGCTTAATTAAACAAAATAGCTTTTGTTCGTCGAGTAATGACTTTCCTGGTCGGTTTTATCTGTAACACTTTATGACGTATTATAGCATGCACATGAACTACCTTGTAGATAAGATTTTTTCATGTTTGTCGTAAAAGATAACAATATTTTCTATGCATTCACATCCATATCATTTTAATATATATGTCTAAATATGTGACATCTTTGTGACAGACGTTCTCAATCAGATAAACTAGGATTATACAGGGCTATAAACACTAGATACATATACCTTTAGCCCAACAATATCAGATCTGCAAAATTTGTGGCGATATCGATGTCACAGAGACGTTGGCTCAAATACTGCAGAAAAAATCAAATTTTCATGGAAAGTAATTTCAATTCCTTGTGTTTGTAAAAAAATAATTATTTATATAAAATATCTTGCAATCTTTTTCTTTCAATTCTTTATTATAGCAGTCTAGTTTATATTGGGATATCGAACATTTCTATTTCAAATTGAATTCTTTTTTTAAATGCATGAACTTTCATTAAAAGAGCTTACAGTATGAAAAAATAAGATGTGGTATGATTGCCAATGATACAACTTTTAACCCGCATGATCAGAGACCAAATGTAAGGAATATTAGCAACATTAGGTCACCGTTCGGTCTTCAACAATGAGCTTCACAAAAAGTAAAATAACAAAAATACCGAACTCCGAGGAAAATTCTAAACGGAAAGTCCCTAATCAAATGGCAAAATCAAAAGCTCAAACACATCAAACGAATGGATAACAACTGTCATATTCCTGACTTAGTACAGGCATTTGTTTATGCAGAAAATGGTGGATTAAACCTGGTTTTATAGCTAGCTAAATCTCTCACTTGTATGACAGTCGTATCAAATTCCATTATATTGACAACGATGTGTGAACAAAACAAACAGACATAATAGGTAAAAATGTCAAAAATAGGGGTACAGCAGTCAACATTGTTTTATAATCTTAATCACTATAAATACAAACAAATATGTCAATTGTCCGTAAAGAAGCTATACATGTCTCCGACATGACGAAATATAAAACAATTAAAATAAACAATCAACGGCTTCATTTACGATTAATCAATAAACAAATATGACAGATAACAACCAACAACAACCACTGAACTACAGTGTCATGAGCGTAACATCCTCTTCATAACCTGGGACATTGGTGTAACAGCATAACATGGGGTCAAACTGTAAACATCTGTTTGTAAGGGCACGACTCATCAATCTATCGGGAAGCACGAATAACATTTTAAAATAACTTACAATACAAAAAGACAAAACGTTACATTTTTCGTCGTTGCTGAAAGCTAGTTCAAAGCAAATTACAACTAATAAATAAATCATGTTTTCCCAGAATAAAAAAATAATAAGTAAACACACAATGGACGCCATGATTAGTCTAAGAATAACATGACCTTGTATAATGCCAAAATATAAGCATCAACAGGACCAAAAGTTTGCATGACTGTTTAAAAAAAATATTCATTTAGTTATGTTTTAATTTATACATAACAAAATCAATGTAAGTATACTGAAAAAGACAATTTTCAATGATTTATTGAAATAACAATAGTGCAGCGGAATATATCAAAGGGACATTCAAACCCATAAGTCGAAACTGACAACGCTATGACACAAAATGAAAAACGACGAAAATTACAACAGTCCACAAAACACAAAGTAGAAAACTAAAGACGGAGCAACACGAACTTCAATTACAACCTTGGGTGATCTAAGGGGATCAAAATGCTTAACAACCGTTCTTATAACAATTATTGGGAAGGAATTGATAACCTCTAAGAATTAGTGTATTCAATAAATCAATAAATTTGCCTATTTTATTTAACAGGCTCTATTTACAATATCAACGTAAAAAGTCGGATGTTATCCTGTCTGTAATAAGGTTTCTCCAAGTATTGCCACGCATCCAAACATAATTTTTGTATCTATGAAAGAATTGAGTAAATGTTTTAAGTAAATGGTGGTGGCAAAATCTTTAACGTTATGAGCTACCAGTTTAACATAAATTATGCTCATTAAAATCAAAAGCGTCGATACAGACACGGGTGTGGCGAACAAGTTGGGAAATACACACGACGTAAGAATGGGCCAAATTTAAAATAAGATCCTCTTTTTGCAGTAAGATTTTAAAGTTCATAGTTATTTCACGCTAAATTATCATCAAAGAAAAAGGTAAGTGATTCATAACAATATAGTAACAAGTCTACTATTGAAGTTGCGCAATTGGTTTCCATAGTAATATCTACATCCTGTCAATTAATTATATAACATACTGAAACGCCGTATACGAGAACACTTACAATTTTAATCGTCTCATTAGAGTTCAAGTGGGTATACATGTATGAAGCATAGTATTACTTTTTCATTACAAAAGAAGACTAATTGTACGACCGCAAAATTTGTGGGGCCGTATAATGGTATGACGTTGTCGTCGTCGTCGTCCAAAGACAATAACTTGAGTATAAATGTTAAGATCTCTGTGAAATTGTTCCACAAGGTTCCATACCACAAAAGAAAGGTTGAAATTGATTTTTGGGGTTATTGTCCTAATTGTTTAGGAATTAGTGGCCAATAAGGGGTCAAAATAAGCATTTTTCTTGTTTTGTACGATAACTTGAGTATTCGTGTATGGTTCTTTATGAAATTGTACCTCTAGGTTTCATTCCTCACAAGGAAGGTTGGGATTGAATTTTCAAGTTATGACCCAAACTGTTAAGGAATTAGGGGTGAAAAAAAAAGGATTTTCTGGTTTCTGGACAATAACTTGAGTATAAGTCTATAGATCTCTATGAAATTGTACCACAACGTTCCATACATAGAAAGGAAGGTTTGGACAACAATACTTTTGTAATACTTTGTATAAATTGCTTACTTCACGACAATTTCAAAGGGGTTTAATTCAAAGTCTTGAATTATTGGTGATTTAATATGATTAATCTATTTATTATTTAGATTTTGGATTTTGGGACCCGTTTTTAAATTGGTCTACATTGGAGTTCAAATGATCCAAATTAAACTTTGTTTGATGTCATCAAAAATTGAATTATTGGGGTTTTTTTATATGCCAAATCGAACCGTATATCTATATTTGGATTTTGGGTCCCGTTTCAAATTAGCTTACATTTGGGTCTAAAGGGTCACAAATTAAAAATTAAACTTTGTTTGATTCAGCAATAATTGACTTCTTGGGGTTCTTTGATATGCTGAATCTAATCGTGTATTTAGATTTTTGATTTCGGGCTAGGTTTGCATATTGGTCCATATTTAGGTTAAAATGATCCAAAATTAAACTTTGTATTTAGATTTCGGGTACCGTGGTAAAATGGTCCACATTAGGGTCCAAAGGCTGCAAAATTGAACTTTGATTGATTTCGTTAAAAATTGAATTCTTGGGGTTCTTTGATATGCTGAATCTGACCGTATATTTAAATTTGGGATATTTGACCATGATAGGTAAATATTCAATATCAAATTAGACCACATTACTTCTGTGTCAGAAACCTATGCTGTTTCAAATATTTGATAATAATCCTATTGTTATTAAATATTTGAAACATGCGGAGAATTTTATAAAGAATTGAGGCAAATAAATTTGATATCAGATTTTTCAAAGTACCATAGGATTGAAAAAGAAAACTTATAGTTGATAAGATTGTTTGAAAGTGTATCGTAGAGAGTGAGAAATTAATAACTGTTAACCGAATTCATTCAAATAAGATTTCCCATGTTTCCACCATTTACAATATTATGAAAGAGCGCCCTTATATGTCGATATGCCTGCTTTTTTATTCTTTTTACAAAAAAGGGATAATTTGAAAACAAATTTTAAGTAAAAGATAAACTGAACGGTACCAGTTTAATTGCACCAGTTCACATTTCTACAAAAAAAATATTATCTTTAGGTGGTTATTGACTTCAAAATATTTATTAATCCGGACCCTTATAAGCTATCCATAAATAAAAAAAAAACATTGCCAACAATTAGTGTCCGTCGTCGTCCGTTAAATTAAAAAAGATATCACTAAAACAATGTAAATAATCATAACCACACTATGCCACATTGATCCCTTTGTTATTTTGTTTAACAATTTCAGCGGATGATCACGCCTGTCAATCAACATGGTCGCTATGACTATAAATTGAACATAGGGGTAAGAAATCGTTTAATATCTTAAAAAACATTTTAGATTGAGCAAATTTAATAGACACAGTGTTAAGAATGTAAATTTTGACCAAATTGTGAGGCGACTCCTGAAGTTATTGCCCTCAAAAGACGATTGAAAAATTGTATGCGTTTTTTGGCTTTTATCTCAATTGTGCAATTTATTCCTTTCAGGAGTGATAGGTCTCAAATGAAGAATTATACATTTTTTGCTTTTTAATGGCCGCTTACAATTATAAAGGGTAATTGTATTTTTCGGGATTTGCGTCCGTCTGTTTGTCTTTCCTGTATCAGATTAATTTTTGGTTTATGATATGTTAGGTTCTGATAGAAGTTAGATTGTGCTCACATCAACTTGAATCTCAATGCACATATTCATTACGAAGAGAACCATCGAATGTATATGGCATATTAGGGTTTGGTTCGCTAAACATGTTATAGGTTCACATATTGCTTTCAAGGTTTCATGGTTTCTCTAAATATGAAAAATAATAGTACGAATGGGGCATGTTGTCCCAATATTCTTGTTGAAAATCATCTCTATAACTAAAGTAGCAAAACAAAATTTTGAGAAAGTCAAAATTACCAAAATTGTCGGCAACTTCTTAAAGGAATTATTACATTTCAATGGCTCCCTATAACTATCACTATAATTATAACTTTTATATAACTATTAAACACATCTTTAAATAAGTCAAAATGGTCAAAATGTCAGACGTCTCTTATAATGAGTAATTGCCGTTACATCATGATTTTTATCATGACATTTTGCGTTTTTGGCTTGACTCGTGTAAAATGTACAGAGAGAAACCTTAGATCAGGTAGACAAGGTCTGCAAAAAAGATTTATATGACTTGACTGTTAATAGATTCCTTAAAGGAGTTGTTTATTTTAATTATTATTTTTACCCATTTTTTTCCAAGTTTAGCTATTGCCTTGAAAAGTATTATAGACAAAAATAGTGTTAATAATAAAATGACAAGCAAGATAGGATCATCAAAGATCAAGAATGACAAAATTATTAATCGACTCCTTATTTGAGTCATAACCCTATTTTGGAATTTTGTGCTATTACGTGGAAAACTGAAAAATGTATGTAAAATAATTTAAATGCTGGTCTTAATATTCCATAGAGTCCAAGGTGAGCGACTCAGACTCCTTGTAGTCCCTTAAATCTTTAAATCTATATAATTGTATTCAATTAATTCCATTACACC